AGATCCAGACCGGTCCTCGCCGCGGCTTCATTTGCGGTAAGATCGGTCATTCTACTCCTCGCTGTTTTCGTCGTCTGGACGACCTGTTCCGCCAGCGCTTTGGCCCGGCGCCCGACCTCCCGGACTGGCACAGCTTGCTTAGGCGTAGCATTAGGATTTTTGACTTGGACATGGATGCCATTGTAGCTGCCTTGCATGTGATGTATGCTGATGACTCTAGTGTGCTTCCCTCTTATTACCCCGTGTTGCCTAGTGTAGCGGTGCCTAGCGTAGACTCCCCTGCTGCATCAGGCGTAGGATCTCCTGCTTTGCTTAGCCTTGGTGCTTCCACCGCTTCACTGCCGCCTCACGCGACTGCTGCGCTTTCCTTCACCTTGGACTCTGGCGCCTCCCGGTGTTTCTTCCGCGACTCCACGACGCTGACGCCGCTGCCTGTTCCCGCTGCCGTTACTCTTGCTGACCCCTCAGGTGGTCCCGTCGTTGCCCGCAGTTCCACCTCCCTTCCCTGTCCGGCGGTTCCTTCGGGTTCGCTCACCGGTCTGCATATCCCCTCGTTCTCCAGGAACCTAGTTGGTGTCGGCTGCCTCCAGGACCTTGGCGTCACCACTACGTTCCCTGGTCACGAGCGGTATGCTGTCTGTACCGAGGCCGCCACTGGTGCCCCCCTTACCACTTTCCCCCGGGACCCGGTGTCCGGCCTGTTCACACTTGACACCGCGACGTCCCCGGCTTGGTCTTCCCCCCCGGTAGCTGCGTCCACCCAGGTTGCTGCCGCGTGCTCCTGTCGGTCCCTCACTCACCCGACTCTCCTTTGGCACCACCGCCTTGGTCACCCTGCACTCCCGCGTCTGCGTCACATGTCCCAGCACGGTCTCGTCCTTGGTCTCCCCGGTTCGTTCCCCGAGTTTCCCTCCTCCCCCGCCCCACCGTGCACGCCTTGTGTCGAGGGCCGGCTCCGCCGTGCCCCTCACTCCTCCTCTTTTCCCCCTACCACCGCACCACTGCAGACTCTGCACATGGACGTCTGGGGCCCAGCCCCGGTCCATGGGCCGCGTCGCGAGCGCTTCTTCCTAGTGCTTGTCAACGACTTCACGCGCTACACCACCGTCTTCCCCCTAGAGCGGAAGGCCGACGTGCCTGACGTTCTCCTCCCCTGGCTTGTCTCTGCTCGTGTCCACCGTGGTCTCCCTGCCTTGCGCCTCCACTCCGACCGGGGTGGCGAGTTTGCCTCAGGTGTCCTTGGTCGCTTCTGTCGTGCGGAGGGCATCACCCAGACGTTTACCCTGCCGGACTCCCCGCAGCAGAATGGGGTCGCTGAGCGACGCATCGGTTTGGTCATGGAGGTGGCTCGCACCTCCATGATCCACGCCGGTGCACCCCATTTTCTGTGGCCGTTCGCCGTGCGCTACGCCGCTCACCAGCTTAACCTGTGGCCGCACCCCCAGCGGCCGCAGGTTTCGCCGACCCTTCTGTGGACCGGGTCCCCTGGTGACGCGTCTGCGTTCCACGTCTGGGGCTGCCTTGCCCACGTTCGTGCCTCTGGCACGGACAAGCTCACTGCCCGCACCCTCCCCTGCGTCTTCCTCGGTTTCCCCCTTGACGAGTCTGACTGGCACTTCTACCACCCGCCGTCCCACCGCTTCTTTCACTCTCGCGACGTCACCTTTGACGAGTCCGTCTCCTTCTACCGCCGCTTCCCTCACCGTGGTCCCCCGGTTACTCCCCCCCTGTTCCTGGTCCCTCCTTCCCCGGTGGTCCCTGCCCCTCCCCCCCCCCCCCCCCGCCCCCCCGTCCGGCCCCCTCTGGTGTGTCTCACGTCACTCCCCTCCCGTCGGTCGTCCCGGTCGACGAGTCTTCTGCCTCTGGTAGTCCTCCGGCGCAGTCCTTGCCGTCTGTCCCTCCCCCGGTGTCTCCTCCTCCCCCGCCTCCGCAGCCGCCTTCGCCGCAGCTGCTGCAGCCGTCGTCTCCACCGCCGCCGCCGTCGCCGCCGTCGCTGCAGCCGCCGCCGCTGCCGCCGTTTGTGGACTCTGGGGGTGCTGGCGTTGAGGTGGGTACTCGTCCCGGGGCTCCTGTCGTGGCTTGTCCCGGCGGGCCTGGGGGTGGTACCGGTGCTGGCGGGGTTTCGGGCTCTGGGGGTGTCCCTTCTGGGGGTGCAGGTGTCGAGGGTTCGGGAGGTAGCCGTCGCGCAGCTTGTGGCCCTGGTGTTGGTGTTGTGTCGCCGCAGCAGCAGTCCCCGCCTGTGACCGCCCTCCGTCTGCTCGGCCTCCCGTCTCCTGACCCTGCGCCTGTTCCTCTCCTGCCGTCTCCCCCTCTTCCCGTCTACGGCCCCGTGTTCCCTCTGCCGGACTCGTCCCCGGCTCGTCTTCCCCCTCGTTCCCCTCCTGTGTCCCCTCCTCTGTCTCCTGACCCGACGCCGCCCTCACACGTCTGGTCTCGCCGCCCCGCTCGTGCTCGTCCTGTCTCCCCTATCCCGCGCTCTCACCCTATGTTGCTCCGTTCCCACGCGTCTCGTCCTCCCCTCCTCCCGTCTCCTCCTCCGTCTTCTCTTGTCGTTGCGTCTCCTCCTCTGTCCGACTACTTTCGTGCCGCTCGTCCTCTTGTTCCTCGGGTCCTTGCCTCTCTCGTTACCGACCCGTCTGTTCCAGTGTCGAGTCTTGACGCCCTCGTCGCTGCGGTCGCTGACTTCGCCTCTACCCGCCGCCTTGACTACGCCACCGCTCTGGTCTCTCACCCTGCCTGTCCTCCGTCTGTCGGGGGTGCTCCTGCCCTCGGCAGTGACGTCCTAGAGGACCGCCAGTTTGAGCTTGCTTTCCTGTCCGAGGCTGCTCCCCATCTCTGTTCCATGCTGCTAGTCCCTGAGGGTGACCCAGACGCTTTCGACATCCCGACCCCTCGTACTTACGCTGAGGCGGTTTCGGGACCCTGGGCCTCTCAGTGGATAGCTGCCATGGAGCAGGAGATGGCATCTTGGAGATCCACCGGCACCTTCGTCGACGCAGTTCCCCCACCTGGGGTGAACGTGGTCGATGGCCGCTGGCTCTTCAAGGTGAAGCGCCCTCCTGGAGAGCCGCCTGTGTTCAAGGCGCGCTACGTGGCTAGAGGCTTCAGTCAGCGCGAGGGGGTGGACTTCTTTCAGACTTTCGCTCCTACCCCGAAGATGACTACTCTTCGGGTTCTGCTACACGTAGCGGCTCAGCGTGACTACGAGCTTCACTCCCTCGACTTCTCCACTGCCTTTCTTCAGGGCAGCCTTCACGAGCAGGTCTACCTGCGTCGCCCTCAGGGCTTTACTGGCACCTTCCCCCCTGGGACCCAGTGGCTTCTGCGGCGGCCAGTCTACGGCCTGCGCCAGGCGCCTCGTGAGTGGCACGACACTTTGCGTGCTACCCTTGCTGACCTGCAGTTCTTTCCGTCCTCTGCAGACCCCTCGCTCTTCGTTTGTGCTGGCTCGACTCCGTTCTACATCCTCGTCTACGTAGACGACCTGGTCTTTGCCACTGCTGACAGGGACGCACTGGCCTCCGTGAAGGCAGAGCTGCTGAAGAGACACACCTGCACTGACCTTGGAGAGCTGCGCCGTCACCTTGGCTTGCAGATCTCCAGGGACAGAGCCGCGCGCACCATCACCCTGACTCAGTCACACTTGGTGCGCCAGGTCCTTCAGAGGTTCGGCCTTCAGTTCTCCTCCGCACAGCCCACCCCTCTTCCTCTGGACCACAGACTCTCCGCTCCAGTTCCTGAGGAGTCGGTAGATCCCAGTGGTCCTTACGCTGAGCTAGTGGGTTGCCTCATGTACCTTATGACTTGCACTCGCCCAGATCTCGCATACCCTCTCAGCATCCTGGCTCGTTTCGTGGCCACAGGCAGACACCGACCTCAGCACTGGTCTGCCGCTAAGAGGGTTTTGCGTTATCTTGCAAGTACATCGGGCATGGGGTTAGTGCTCGGCGGACGCAGGCCAGTGGTCCTTACTGGACACACTGACGCTTCTTGGGCAGACGACGCCGAGACGCTCAGGTCTTCTCAGGGCTACTGCTTTAGCCTTGGCTCAGGTGTTGTCTCGTGGAGAGCTACCCGCTCTTCGTCTGTTGCCCAGTCCAGCTGTGAGGCAGAGATCTACGCCGGTGCCATGGCAGCACAGGAGCTCCGCTGGCTGACCTTCTTGCTCACTGACTTAGGTGAGCGGCCTAGCTCTGCCCCGGTCCTGTACGCTGACAACAGGGCCATGATCCTCCTGTGTCAGGAGCCTCGACTCGAGGGCAGAGCGAAGCACATCCAGCTGCGGTACTTCCTCCTGCGTGAGCTACAGCAGCGTCGCCAGGCTCGCGTAGTACACTTAGCCTCCGGTGCCAACACAGCTGATATCTTTACGAAGGCGCTTGCGCCTAGGCACTGTGTACAGCTTGGTCTGGTTCCTGTAGTCTCTCACTTACTCGGGCCTTGACTTTGTACTGTCCTATATATCTGTGTGTACACTCAGACTGGACTTGTGTCCTCTTACAGTGGTTGGACTAGTAGTGCCGCCCTGTACTAGTTCTTGCCTTGCCTGTACTCCTTCTGACTGGTCTTTTAGACCCTTGTCTCAGAGGCTGGACTAGTAGTGCCACCCTGAGCTGCTTGTCTAGAACATTCCCCTATGCAGTCCAGGGGGTGTGTCAAACATGTTTAGTTATCATGCTTGTATAGACTGTATAGGGTCATCTTCTAGAGAGTACAACTGTTAGGTATATGTTTGTGTACTCTCTCTCTCTCAATTATCAATTTCACTGTTTGATACATTCACTAATGAAAAACCATAAAAAAGACTCATACAAAAGTTTGGCTATGACTCTGATTGGTCAGACAAAAAATTGAAGGCTACTCTGATTTTTCAGACTTTTTCAATGAGATAACTGTGACACCCATACCAAGGGAAGGCAGTGGACTCTGACGAATCAGACAGGTCCAAAACCAATTTGGGGGCCCGGTCCGCTGTCTGAAGGCATTGTGTGAATCGTGGCTAGGATAGGCGCCCTCTTTGACATAGGAATAGAATGTGGTAATACAAAAAAACAAAAAAACCAACAAAAAAAAAAAAAAAAAAACCGACAGTCACTCGCGCGTTCAGGAACCACTCTCTTTCCGATCCTCTTTCAGCACATACATAATCTCATGCGGAACCACGGAATCGTGAACGGTTCGTTGTATGGAGCCAGCAAATACTGCCCTGCACTTCCGTACCCTGCTTTCTCCAATGCCATTTTCAGCTCCTGGAACTTGTGCCCCAACACCGAGTGAGTGGCGAGACCTGAGGAGTCTATTTTTGAGGCGCCTAAAAAACACCGAGTGGCGAGACCTGAGAATGTGAGAGCACCCATGAGGCGGGGCGGAAGACAGTGCACTCTTGCATGCTCATGAGCCGCTCTCCTTTCTACTATCCTTTTTCAGCGGATACAAGATCTCATTCGTGCGAAACCACGGAATGGTGAACGGGTCATTGTATCGAGCGAGCACATACTGCCCTGCAATGCCGTACCCGGCTTTCTCCAGCGCACTCCTCAGCTCCTGCGATCTCTGCTGCAGCACCGAGTCAGTCGTGAGGCCAGAGAATGTGAGAGCACCAATCAGGCGAGCAGGCAGCTGGTGCACTCTCACTGCTGGGTTGGTGGGGACGGGGGTGTTGTCTGGTGTGAAGGATGCTGGTAACAGAAACTGCATCGTGGTTTTGCTTGAAGCTGTTGATTCGGAGGCTGCTGTCTCCGCTTCTGCTGCTGCCACAGTGGCTGTTACCACTTCTGTAATCACAGGAGCAGTCATGGCTATTTTCTGTGGCCCACCACCACCATCAGCGGCAGCAGCAGCAGCATCAGCGACACGGGTTTCTGTGATCACCGGTGCAGTCATTGCAATTTTCTGCCGCTCGTCCCCTCCCGTCCCCCCCCTTGCCACCTCTGCCCCAGGAACAGCTTTCCTGTTCTCAGCTGGACCCAGCACCCCTATGTAGCCTGCCAGGGCGAAGAACCCGCTTCTCGACCCGACACGCTGGGAGGAAGGGAGGAGAAAGGGGGTTGTGAGAGGTAAGAGGGGAGCGAGTTGAAGGGACAGCAGCACCTCTGCTGTTCTCTGCTGGACCCACCACCCCTGTGTAGCCTGCCATGGCGAAGAACCCAGTTCTGGAACCAGCACGCTGAGGGAAGAGGGGAATTGGCCGGAAGTTGATGGAAGCCATAAATCATCACGGAAGACTGTGAGCTAAAATTCAGGAGAAAAAAATGTATTCGAATTTTTTAAAAAATCTCTAGACTGATTGAGAAACAAATAGAGCTCTACAATGCCGGAAACCACGTCACGCTCACAAGGCCAGTCAATCGCCGCAAGGGCTCTGACGAACGACGAAGATAATCGAAGAAAGATAATCGTCACCTGAAAGTGGTCGCCGCCTTAGGTCACGTCAGCCAGGTCATTTTGAGTCGAGACAAAGCACACCCGACGAACAAAGTACACCCGACGAACAAAGTACACCCGACGAACAAAGTACACCCGACGAACAAAGTACACCCGACGAACAAAGTACACCCGACGAACAAAGTACACCCGACGAACAAAGTACACCCGACGAACAAAGTACACCCGACGAACAAAGTACACCCGACGAACAAAGTACACCCGACGAACAAAGTACACCCGACGAACGGCGACCACAATCTGATTATCGCCATTGTTACCTGAAAGTGGTCGCCGTCGTAGGTCACTTCAGCCGCCATCTGCGGCGGATACCGTCGAATCTCATATTGATCCGTCTTCGCTTCCACCGTAAATTGCGGCGTCTCTACCTCGATGCGACCCAGCACCGATCCCATGACGCCTCGTCGAAAGGTGACTTGGAGCAACGTGCCTTGGCGCGCTGTGGCTCGGCACGCTGCCGTGGTGAGCGCCAGCCGTGCAGATCCAACCAAGTCCTCCACGCAAAACAAGTGCCTTGCGCAGCGGCAAAGCGATCAAGGAAGGATAGGGAGTCGAGGAAAAGAGCGAGTCTAGAAGCTAGTTCCTGAACTCCCACGAGAACTCCTTAGTCCCGAGGGAGACCAAACTTGATGCAGACGACATTCAGGTTCTTGGCTGGAGGATTTCCTCACAGGGGTGTCGTACACTTGGCCCCTAACGAAAGAACCCCTTCGCGAACTCAGTAACTTTTGGCCACCACACGCACACCACACGATTCCCGCCTTCTTTCTCGTGAGGGAAAGGGGGGAAGGGAAATCGAGGGTTACTGATGGCTGACGGTAACGGCGTAAGCGAATTGACGAAGAGTTGATAACTCTCTAGATGTCATCCATCGTTACGCCATCACGTTCTGCCTGGCTAGTCAGCACATGTAGCTATACAGCCTATCATCTGTTACTTGTTTTCATTAAAAACCTCCACCCTTTGATACGTCTTTCTATGGGCCCTTACTTCTTCCTGAGCAAACGGACAAGCGTCTTCCATATTTAGTTTGTTGAGAGCAGAACAGCAGATGGAAAAACCGTTGAATGTTGATTCATTCCCCCACCACCTGGCAGGCAGAAGGCTGTCGCCAACCGAACTTCAGAAATGCGTTAGTTGCACCGAACTTGTGCAACAAACCAGCCCATTCCTTTAGTACTGCAGCGTCACACAAATCGTGACATTATTATATGCAGGAGAGGTTTTATTTGCAAGCAGGCAGCGGTGTTCCGCACAGATTAGGGTTTCCTGGCTTAAAGGAAGCCCGTTTCAGCTTGCTAAGAGCAGCAGGAACAGCCCCTGACAGCCGGTTCCCTGCCAGCAGCACCTGGCCGATAGTTCGCGGCCAAGCCGCAGGAATGGGACCCGACAGCCCGTTATACGACACGCCCAGTCCCTTCAGCTGCTGCATGCCGCTCACCCCAGCCGGGATTGCCCCTGAGAGGGCGTTTCTGTCTAGAAGCAGCCATTTGAGGCTTTTAAAGGAGCTGATTGTAGAGGGGATGGCGCCGGAGAGTCGGTTGGAGGAGAGGTAGAGGGCGGTGAGGGAGGGGGCGCAGGAGGGGGAGGAGAGAGGGGTGGGCGGGCCGGAGAGGGCATTGAAGGCGAGGTTGAGAGAGACAAGGGCTTGCTGGCCCTGGCAGAAGTGGGGGATGGGGCCTGAGGGGTGGAGAGGGGAGGAGGGAAAGGGGGGGAGGGAAAGGGGGGGAAGGCGAAATGGAAAACAAAGGGTTAGGGCTGAGGGCGGTAAGGGCCCGCAGGCCTTGAAAGATAGGGGAAGTGGATGGAAGATAGCGGGTTTGGGATAGAAGAAGTGGAAGTATGGACAGCTGCACACCCCTTCTAATAATATTCACAGCTCGAAGACTAACCTGCAGTTTTCCGGTCAGCTTACCTGTCAGATAGTTGGCCCCCAGGTCCAAGTTAAACAGCTGGGGTAACGTGGTGAGGCCTTGGGGAATTCTCCCTGTGAACTTGTTAAATCCCAGGTCCACAGCAGCGATGCTCTTGGGCAGGCTGGAAAACGGCTGCAAGCTGCCCGAGAAGTTGTTGCGGCTCAAGAAGAGGGCCAGGAGCACCCTATTTGCAGGCTTGAAGCAATTTGCTGGAACGGCACCAGTCAGACGATTACGTGAAAAATCAACGCTTCCAAGGCTGCCCGAGTTGCTGCACAGGATTTGCGGAAAGGTGCCCGAGAAAAGATTCTCCGAGAAGTCGATGAAGCTTACCGACTCGCTGAACTGGATCGTGTTGAGATTTCCTGACAGCCTGTTCCGGCTTAAGCCAATGAGAAAAGCTTTTATCTGCTGCCCGCTCAAGTCACCCGAAAGCCGGTTCCAATCCAGAACAAGCCCGGACAATTCCTTTTTCAGAAGGGCAGGCGGAATTCTGCCTGAGAGCCGATTCGTGTTCAAAAGTAAACCCCGAAGCATCGGCAGCGTCGCAAGGGCAGCTGGAATCGGCCCGGAAAGAAAATTTATCCCGAGATCCAGATCTGATAACGAAACCATCGCGGCGTACGCAGTAGGACGCTGTGGTAACCCGCCGGAGAAGAAATTTCGCGACGCGGACAGAGAGTAGAGATTCGGCATGCGAAAAAAGGCGACGGGAAGAGGGCCGGCGAAGCAATTATCTTGGAGATCGAGAAATTGAAGTTTCGTAAGCCGGGAAAGCGATCGCGGTACCGAACCAGCGAGCCATAGATTCGATAGACGGAGGTCGACCAGATCCGTCAACTGGCCGATAGACTCGGAAAGAGTCGCGGGGAATTTTCCGCCTCGTTCGCGCGCTGTACGGTTGCAAAGGCGCGGCGTCGGCGGGAGCAAGAGCCGGCTGACGCTGCTCGTGAGGTTTAGCTTTACAACAGCACCGTTCGCGGCGCATGTCACGCCGGGCCACGCGCACGCGTTCGGCTTGTTCGCGGGGATAGGCAGCTGCGCGGCCGTGAAGATCGCCGTAAGAGCCGCCGTGTTCGCCGCCGCAGTCTGCGGCACTGAGGCTGCGGATGCCGCGCCGCTCAACCCTAAACCGGTTGACAGGCTGTCAGCGCCGCTGATTCCGCTCACCGTCGCTGCTTCCGTTTGCTCCGCGGGTGCCAGTAGTTTCTCCGCATATATTCTCTCCGCCCGCCGCGCCGCTAGAAATTGCGCCGCGGGAGGCAGAACCGTCCGGAGGGAGACTTGTTCGCGGCGAGCAGAAGACGTGCTCGATATAAGCGGCCTCGATATGGGCTTGAGAGCGGTGGCTGATGAGCAGTAAACAAGCAGGAGAACGAGGTACGCGGCTGTGGTAGCGTGAGCGCGCAGCGCGTAAGTAATGGTGGTTGAACGTGGAATTGGAGGGCATTCCGTGCCGACCATTGTGAAAACTTGGCTCAAGCTTGCCAAGCTCGACTCGTAACCCAAAACCGAAAACCGAAACCTACCGTGCGTAAGAAACGATGAAGCGCCACGATATAGGGAAAGAAGGAAGAAGGGATACGAGCTGACGAATATGCAAATAGGGGAGAACTCGTCCCATTTATAACCTACCCTGAGCCAATGCCCGATCGTGAGTAAATGCGATGCGGGCGAGCGAGGGACGCGATAAGGCAAAATGGCTGCTGTTGCTGCATGGTGTTGCGCAACCAGACCTAACAGATGGATGCTTGGAGCAAGGAGCAGACGAGAGGTTGGGCGCTGACCGGAGGAGGAAATGGTTGCAACATCAAGGGCATGATCCGAAAAAAATGCCGAAAGCTCGAACTTTCAGAGTGGTCTCACGCGATTCTGTGTTCTTTCGTACGATCAACTACGGTGCAGCGAGGTTCATTCACTGTTCGAGCGTTCTGTAGGAAGTCTGGCGGGGGGGAAGGAAAGTGAGTAAGCATGGAGGTTTGGAGGAGGCAAGGGATTGGGCAGGGGAGGGAAATCGTGGGTGGTAATTTGTAAAAGGTAAAGTGCGGTCCACTATATTAGAATGCTCTGCGGTACGGTGAGAGAGCACAAAATATTATTCTACGCCGCAAAATCAAGTTGCTATTTTCGGGGTTAGGTAGGAGGCGTGAGCAGCATCGCTCGATGTGCAATCAGCGGCCATCAGGAGAAAAAACGGCGCGAGGACAGCTCACCACACTAAATCAACATAATCTAGCTGAGACCAGGCTTTGAACTTCTAGCAAAAATCACCCCTCCCAAAACCCCTCGTGCTGCTTAGCTGAGAACACTTTGCAAGCAGCCTCCGGTGTGGGTTGAAGTCTCGCCATTTGGGAGTCCCCAACAGCCCATGGTTGACACCCGCTAAAGGGGTAATGCCCGATAAGCTATTTTGACGTCACTTGGTGACGTCCGCGCGACGTTCATTTTGCTTATTCTGAGGGCTACACAAGCACATTGAACAATGACGAAATGCGAAACATGCCGGAAACTATTTTTTTTAGAGTGCCGAAACCGAAGCGCCATGTAAAGTGAATGTAGAAGTCAGGTTTTTGACGTCACTATGCGGTAACAATCTGTACAACCTTTAGTACAGCTGTTTCACGCTTAAAGAGAGTTTTTTTCACGCGGCTCAAGCCTGCTCCCCATAAATTTCAGACCACGGGCAAACGGGAAATTAGCCCAGAATTTGCACAGTGACTCTCGAGCAAAATGTTGAGCATTTCGACCTGACTTTGGGGGTCAACGCGGTTAAGTTTGGTACAGTACCTGGTGGAGGAGACTGAACCTAGGGGGACACGAGCAGGCGAGAATTGCAAAATCAGGCAAGAATTGCAATCTGGACTGTTCGTCTGAGAACCGTAGCGGGGGATAGGTGTATCCTGACGTCACAGCATGGGACGTCACGTCAGGTTTCGCGCCAGCATGGCTGTACGGTAATTCGGGCTGCGGGGAACAACAGTAGTAAACCAGCGTCAATCCCAGTCAACTAAAGGTTCAATTTCAACTCACGCGTTATAGTGACAGGAGCAACCACGGGCTCTAAAACTAAGACATCCATATTAATACTACATAGATATTTGCACGCTATTATGTAAGTAGGCCAAAGAGGGCAGGCATCCATGACTCATGTTGGTTTACTCCAATATCAGGCTCATGGGTTCAATGGGTTGGCAGGGTTCCACGCATACGCAACTAGCACGAGAAAGCCCGTGGTCAATGCGAACCACGCCACCGCGTTATCTGCAAGAAGCAAAATTACGTAAGGACACAACTTTGCCAAACGATGCATAGACGATGCCAGGAACTCGAAGTATGATGAGACGATGCGTTTACCACGTACCTTGCTGCAGCTTTATCAGCCTCGGCCGATCGTCAATTTCCGACTCGGACTCCGAACCATCTCCCCTTGCCGCTGCTGCTGCCATCCTATCAATTTCTTCCATATCGATCGAACCCCCCCCAAAGGTCTTTCCGGACGGTGCCCCAGATGTGAAGGGGAAACGGAATGGCGGGAGGGAGTCGGAGAACTTGAAAAACGAGGGTGGCAGCCAGCTTGGTTTTGTCGATGCTTCTTCCCTGCTTTCGTCGATGCTTCTGGTGCTGTCAGCAGTTGTAAACCTCTCGAAAGGTGGATCTGATGTTGGTAAATCTGGGGCTGTTTGTTGGTTGGACTGTTGGGTACCTTGTCCTGCTGTCTCGACCAATATTACTGCTGCTGGTGCACCTGCCCCTGCTGCTGCTGCTGGTGCACCTGCCCCTGCTGCGGCTGCTGCTGGTGCAGCTGCCACTGCGGCTGCTGCTGCTGCCGATGAAGGCATGATTGGCACGGCTACTGTTGGGATTGAGCTTCCGGGAGATTGATTTAGTAGTGAGGAAGAAACAGGGGGGTTCGGAGGATCCTGTGGCATGCGCTTGATAGGTATGGGAGGGAGGCCTGGAACAGTAGGCAGGTTAGGAGTAGCAGGGAGTAGAGGAGCCGGGACGGTTGACTCACTGTTGGCCGCATTTGACCTGACAGAGCGTTTGCAGAAGGTGAGTTGGGGGGGTGGGGGAAGGGGGTTCAGGCTCCTCAAAGGTTAAGTGGGATCAGGAAGGAGGGGAGCCGGGAGAGTGGACTCACTGTTGGCCGCATTTTACCTGACAGAGAGGGTGCAGAAGCAGGTGGGTTATAGAGAAGGGTGGGAATGAGGGAGAGTCTTGAGACGTCTCAAAACAGAGACTGTAGACTCACTGTTGGGCGCATTGACCCGAAAGAACGCTTGCAGAAGCAGGTGGGTTGACGGGCGGCTGGGAATGGAGGGGGGTAAGGGTAAGTGAGAGGAAACCAGAGAACGAGGGAGGGCTGAAAAGGACGAAGAGGAGGGAGGGATGGAAAGAGGAGTATGAGATTGTGGAGGAGTCTCTGCGATGTTCGCACAGCAAAACCTTAGTCTCCCCACAGCTATAACTTATTGAAGTCTCTGTGTGAAGTTAAACGTGTGTTTGAAAACCCCTCTGGACCGTACAGCCATCCAAGGTGGCTTCTCGCATGATGTTTAAGAATCACTCATACCCACACATCCACCTTATAGTCCCTCACATGGACTCTGGTCATAATTAAACCCCTTTGGCCCTTACTGACGCCAGCTGACCCAGCATTAGCAGAAGTCGACTCAAAAGTAACTGACGGCGGTACAGCCATCTCACCTGGACTTCCGCTATGACTAAGGCCCTTTGAAAGCGACGTTTTACGAAGTGAATTTAACAAGTAAAAGATCCCTACTCAAAAAGCCCCCTCATACAAAGCTCACCTGACTTCTTCCCCAACTCTTAAATCCTTTGACTAGGACGTTAACGACAAGCAATGCCACCACCAGCAGCTGTCCCTAGCAGCGACTGACTTGTGGCTGTACAGCAGTTTCAGAAATCACTTTCCGAGCCTGTCTGAAAAAACGCACAGGCATCTCACCTGGACTTTAGCCAAGACTGCATCCCTCTAACCAGCAGCCCGATGACGAGCAATCCCGCCGCCAGCTGACCCCACGTTAGTTGCACCACAGAGCCCTCCGCGATCCCGAACCTCCCTTTCAGGGTCGGAGGGAGAGGCAGGGCCTGCACGCTTTCCTGCAGCTGCTTCGGCAGGGCAACAGGCTCGGCTGCAGCCGTCGCGAGGCTCTGCCACGTGTTGCTAGGCGCGTCTCGAGCGCGCCTGACAGCCTCCTGAGCGGAGGTAGAAATGGCGGGAAGAGGGTTGCCGCCTATCACCATCGCTGCTTCTGCTGCTGTTGTTGTAACAGCTGCGTCTGTTGCTTCTAGCGGGGAATCTCCTGGAGAGGATTTTGAAACTGATTCTGCGGCTGCGGCTGCGGCTTCGGCAGTGGGAGCCGCCGCGGCTTCTGAAGCGGCTTCAGAAGAGGAGGTATCACCAGACACGGCACCAGGCACGGCACCAGGCACGGAGGTATTAGTAGCCACGGTGTCAGCAGCAGTTACGGAACTACTAGCAGCAGGTACGGAGTCAGTAGTAGCAGGGGTCTCCGTGGTACTGGGAGAAGAGCTAGCAGCCGCCGTTTTGCTTCCTGCACTTTCCCGCCATCCGCCGTGTCGCTTGTGCACGTTCTTCTCGTGAACCGCGTCTTCTTTGGATTGCTTCGCCTCGACGGTTACCAGCCGTCTTTGCTGGCGAAACTCGCCCTGGCGAAGTCTAAGGGTGTTTCGCAGAGGAGAAGTTCGCAAGAAAGATGTTCGCGAAGAGAAACGGGCGTAGGCTGACGTGTTTGGATTCGCGAAATTGGTCGACGCGAGAGCCTGCGGTGGGATGTTGGACGAATGGGATGACCCGCTTGAATCACTGATTGCATTACGTAATGTTAGGTTGCAACTATAACCCACGAACGCGGGACATGTGGTCGTTGAGGCCGCCATTATATCGAAAATTGAGACAGCGCCACGGAAATTGAGGTGAGCGCCAAATGCGCGCAGTAAGAGAAGCAAAGTCTTATAAAGCCTAATCCGTCTGTACTTCCAGATCAGACCAGTCAGCAGCAGGTTAATACCATACCAGCGTGCCGAGTATGTGTCTCATATCAACCCCGTTGAAAGGCAAGGTGAGCGGTTTCATGAGGGTGGATGCCGAATGCTAGTCAAGCTTCTACTCAGCTGAAGTTCCAGTCACCAAAATAACTAAGTCCTCAGCATTAGGGCGAGTCACTAAAGTACGTCCGATTGCGGTTGGAAAATATATCTTGCGTTCTAGCGCGGTTAGATCATTTTAAAAACGGTTTAGTAGGGTTCATAGAAAACGTACTTTTCCGACACGCCCATAGTTCCAGTGCTCAAGGAATGCAAGGTAGAATGGAGGCCTTCATTTCGTATCGCAACCGAACTGTACTGCTCTCAGTTACCTTCAACAGAAGTAGAAACCGTACTGTACCTTCTTCTGACGTCTTGAGACGAAATGTTATGCACCTTAGATGCTCCCTCCACAGAAGCAGCAGGTCATCTGTGTGGCTTGAAAACGCGGGAAACAGAAGCTTGACTTGCGGCGGGAAGTCAGTCGAGTAGCGGCAGAAAGCCAACAGCCAATGGGAGTGAAGGGAGCTTTGGTGGTGCTGGTGGTGAGTCACCACGGCACTGGTGTGACCCTTGATTTTGGCGCCAAGCCCGTTGCGGTATCAGAAGCGGATGAGCTGACGTCAGGGCAATCCGAGAATTTGACGATGGGGGTTTGCTGGCATGGCAAGTACTCAGTCGCGGATAGATAACCTTTTGGGAAATTATACACTGGGTAACTCTTACTTTTCGTTTCCCCAATTCAGTCACTCTTTTCTCATCTCAGTCAATGTTTTATCGAGTCGAAATCAGCAGCGTCAAACTTTCCGTTCAGTTTGATGTCGCATGGCAAAATATTTCGACACGTGTTCAAAAATGGCGAAATCCCAGAGACAAGGGAGACTATTTGTAGCGACAAACAAATAGAATCTCTATCTGAAAACAACATTCGATTTCACTCACATTCAAATTTCGCAGTAGATTATATTCGTGAAGACTGACTAGCCAAGTGTTGTCTCCTTGTGACAGGAAACAGTGAGCAGACGAAGCGCACACAAATTGCGCAACTGAACGTGTGCGAATTTACTGGTTGTTACGAAAATCCCCGAATGGAAAAAAATATTATTTTGGTTGCACAAATCTATCAAGCCATTCTTGAAGGTGTAAACTAGACTTCTGTCAATTTTCTGACGTTTTGTTTTTCGGGATGCCCACAAAACTAAAAACCCATTTGAGCCCGCATGCGACTCGCGGTGGCATCAAACCTAAACTCGTGGCTTTGTGCGTCTTTAGGATTGATGCCACCCCAAGTCGAATATCGGGCCGCTGCGGGTTTTATTTTGTTTCAGACTGCCCTAATTGACATGTCCGTATAAATACGGCTGCTGCGGGTTATATTTTGTTTCAGGCTGCCCTAATCGACATGTTTGTATCTCAATAACGCGTCGCGAGCTGTGCGCGAACAGAATCCTCTAATAACTATGAAGTTTTCTCTTCAACGTTTGGATGTTATGTATTTATCTCTCGATTTTTTAGACATCGCATTTCTGGGACACGTGTCGAAATATTTTGCCATGCGGCATCAAACTGAACAAAAAGTTTGACGCTGCTGAATTCGACTCGATTAAACATTGACTGAGATGAGAAAATAGTGACTAAATCGAGAGAATGAAGAGTAAGTGTTACCCAGCGTAAAATTTCCCTAACCTTTTCGTTGCTGTCATCCTCTGGCAAATCTCTTCGTGCACTGTATATGTTGCAGTTCCTAACCCCGTTATCTCGTCATACCCCCCCCCCCCCCCCCCCCATTATATTCACACGTTTGCTGCTCAAATATCAGGTATTATATAATGGTAGCAAACCAGTAATACAGCAGAAGCTTTCTTCTCCATTTTATATGATTGACAAATCCTCGTACATGTAAGTACCGGTAGTACCAATATCGAGGCGTGCATGCAGCCTTGAGCCTCCTGCGACGCGATCTGCCTTCTTCCTTATCGTGGCAGGCCTTTCTGCTGCATTCGTGCAAGAGCGACCTAGTCACTGCGCCGTTCGAGTCTTCATTCTCGGCCTTAGCAGCTCATGTAGGCCAGAATGACGCGCGCGCGACTGTTCTTGTCCGCGGCTCGCGGGTTCCTCGCGAGGCGCGGAGATCCAACGGCTGGCAGCCACTCTGCTGGTGCTGCTGTTACCGCGGATTCCTTCCTGTGCCACGTCAGCAGGGCTTTAAGCTCCTGTTCGTGGATCCGATCCGCAGATCTCGATCCAAGCCGTCCAGAGATCGGGCCTGATGATCTCAACCGCTCGCTCCTTCGAAATACGTCCACGTGTTCCTTAGTCTCCTCCGTGCCGCACAATGGCGGCTCGATCTGCCGAGCCGCTAGACCTAGAAGCTACAGGTACAGCACGAACGCCGCGAGCGCGACCGACGCTGCTGGATTAGCGGAGGCCGCCGGATTGCACGACGACCCGAACGAGGGTAGCATAAGCGAGGGTAGTACGCGCAACGAGGCGATTCGCAACGTGGCGATCATAGCGCACGTGGATCACGGCAAGACGACGCTCATGGACCGCCTCATCCGCGCCTCCAGCTCCACCGCTGCTACCACCGCCGGAGGTGGAGGAGGGGGAGGGGGAGGGGGAGGGGGAGGGGGAGCAGGTGGCGGGGGTTCGGCGGCAGCCGATTTGCCGTGCGATCGAGTGATGGACTCCATCGCTCTGGAGCGCGAGAGAGGAATCACGATCGCGTCCAAGGTACGCTTCTCACTCAGTCAGGGTTTAGGAGAGGGTCAGGGTTTAGAGGTTGCAGTTTTCTCTTATTCATTGCCGCGCAGAAGTCGATGAAAGGCAGGGGTCAGGATTTATGCTTTAAGATAGCAGAAGCCTGACGCTTATAAGTGGGATTGCCATAGGGATAAACCCCAGCCCTTCACACACCCCACCTCAGCCCGTCTCGCACTTCCATTTGCTCGGTTCTTTCTCGCCTTGTTTAGGTTATGCGGATGTTTCTGATTCGAACATGACTTGAGTGAATGTGACATCTCCGATTGTGACATCAATGTGACTGGCGTATCTTGACATGTGCGAATGTGACATCTCATATGTGTGATCGTGACATGTGTGTGTGAATGTGACATGCCATGTGTGTGAATGTGATGTGTGATTGTGACACGTGTAAATGTGACTGGCGTGAATGTGACGTGTGTGAATGTGACTGGTGTGATTGTGACGTGTGTGAATGTGACTCATGGGATTGTGACAGTACACGTCGGTCACATTCAGAGGAACCACTCTCAATCTTGTGGACACACCTGGCCATGCGGACTTTGGAGGGGAGGTGAGATCTGGGGGAGGTGAGGTCTGGGGGAGGCTAGATATCTTGGTCAGGTTAGGGGGAGGTAAGGACAAGTGAGTTGGGGGGTGGGTGGGTTTCAGGGAAGGTGAGATCTGCTGTTGGTTGAGTGGGAAGCCCTGCCACGCCATGGCCCATGATTGAGCTCAAAAGGATGCTATGCTATGCCATCTCATACAGCCACTATTCTCGTCATACCCGCTTTTTTTGCTCACCCCAGGTGGAGCAGGTGACGTGGCATGGTGGTGGATGGGGCACGACTACCGGTTGACGTGGCAGGCGGAGGGTCCCTTGGCGCGGCGGACCCAGTTTGTGTTGGCTCGCCCACTGAACCAGTGATCATAACCACTTACCTTGCTCTCATCATGCGTCACTATGCTCTCCTCTCATCCCCTTCCCAAACCCTCCTCAACGCCCCACCACACCCCAGGTGGAGCGGGTAATGGGCATGGTGGACGGAGCGCTCCTGCTGGTCGACGTGGCGGAGGGTCCCTTGGCACAGACCAAGTTTGTGCTGGGGAAGGCTCTGCAGAGGGACTTAAAGCCCATTGTCGTGCTCAACAAGTGCGACCGGCCCTCAGGTGATTTCCACAGCACGTTAGGTGATTCCAACAGAGCTTCAGGTGATTCTAGTAGAGCGTCAGGTGATTCTAGTAGAGCTTCAGGTGATTCTAGTAGAGCGTCAGGTGATTCTAGTAGAGCTTCAGGTGATTCTAGTAGAGCTTCAGGTGATTCTAGTAGAGCTTCAGTTGATTGCAAAAAAGCCATCCTTTTGGGAAGTCGCAGAAGGCCCCTTAGCCCAGTCCAAAAAGTTTGCCATGCAACCTATTGTTTGCGTCATGCCTTTCAACGTAGTAGTTTGCCATGCCATGCCATGCCATGCCAATCTGATGCAACGGTTTCTTGCCATGTGGTGAGACGACGGCATAAGCTTTGATTCTGCAGGGTGTTTTTGTGAATTCTCAAAGACACATTGCCATGGTGCTGGATAGTGAGACGACGGCATAAGCTTTGATTCTGCAGGGTGTTTTTGAGAATTCTCAAAAACACCTTGCCATGTGCTGGATAGTGAGACGACGGCATAAGCTTTGATTCTGCAGGGTGTTTTTGAGAATTCTCAAAAACACCTTGCCATGTGCTGGATAGTGAGACGACGGCATAAGCTTTGATTCTGCAGGGTGTTTTTGAGAATTCTCAAAAACACCTTGCCATGTGCTGGATAGTCAGACGACGGCATAAGCTTTGATTCTGCATGGTGTTTTTGAGAATTCTCAGAAACACCTTGCCATGTGCTGGATAGTGAGACGACCGCACAAGCTTTGATTTTGCAGGGTGTAGAGAATTCTCAAAAACACCTTGCCATGTGCTGGATAGTGAGACGACCGCACAAGCTTTGATTTTGCAGGGTGTTTTTGAGAATTCTAAAAAACACCTTGCTATGTGCTGGATAGTGAGACGACGGCACAATCTTTGATTTTGCAGGTTGTTTTTTAGAATTCTCAAAAACACCTTGCCATGTGCTGGATGGCGAGACAATGGCAGAAGCTTTGATTCTGCAGGGTGTTTTTGAGAATTCTCAAAAACACCTTGCCATGTGCTGGATAGTGAGACGACCGCACAAGCTTCCCTTTATTCGTCTCTCCATCCCCCCCTCGTTTCCTCCCTTCCTGCTGCTTTCCCGCACCGATTGGCAGTCACGTCACCACGCATTTGGTGCACCACGCATTTGGTGCATCAAATGAAGTTGAGTCAGCTATCTTCGACCTCTTGCCTGATGCTCTTACTCCCCTCCATTATCGCACACACACTCCCCGAGAAAACACCACTTGGTGGTGGTTTTAGCCATACGTGGCAGCGGCTGTAAAACACTGTTGTTTTAGAAAAAATCTTGCTCAGAAAAAAACTCTCGTGAATTTGTAGGGCAAAATTGATGGTAACTAGTTTCGGCAGGTGGCGACCTTCATCAGGCCATACACAAAAGAGCAAATGAGCAAGGCTAAATAGGTAGGAGCTCGTGAACCTCCCAAGGCCAAAATGCGGCTCGAGGGAATTCTCGGAGTCTGAACATCTAGGCTAGAAAAAATGAAATAAGTGTAGCTACACCTAACACTTTCTAGCTGAAACTGAAAAATATCCTGTACGCTTCAGAAGCTTCCACGCAATAATAGCACGCCGATCTTCAAATGTCTCGTGCGACAATATCCATAGGTGATTTTTGAGTCGACTCAAAAATCACAGGTTGGCAGTCACGTCACCACGCATTTGGTGCACCACACATTCGGTGCACCACGCATTTGGTGCATCAAATGAAGTTGAGTCAGCTATCTTCGACCTCTTACCTGATGCTCTTACTCCCCTCCATTATCCCACACTCCCCCCTCCTCTCCACTATCTCCAGTCACCACCCAGATGGTGCGTCAAGAGGAGTCAGCCATAATACTTGATGCTCCTTATCCTCTCCCTCCCACTATCCCCCCTCCCCTCCCCTCCTCTCCACTATCTCCAGTCACCACCCAGATGGTGCATCAGGTGGAGTCAGCCATGTTTGACCATGTTGTGCTCGTACTCATGCTCATCCGTCTTTCCCTTTTTCCTGTCCCTACCCCTCTCCCCCCCCCCCTCCTCTTTCCTCCTTCCCAATACCACAGTGACCACCCAGATGGTGCATCAGGTGGAGTCAGCCATCTTCGACCTCTTTGCTTCCTTTGACGCCACAGGTGACGATCGCAACCACGTGTCGTATCATGTGGCTATTGGTCTGTGTGATTGAGGACTATGTCCATGTGTCATGTGCCGACTGGTTTACGTCATAGGTCCTTGCAAGAATCACAGCGTGAGTGTGTTCTTGATTCTTGCTGGCACAGGTATTAAATTGTCCCTGGACCTAAAAATTTCAACCCTCCGACCAGCAGCTTGACTTCCTTCCCACCCACTGCCCTACACCTCACGCCCCACGGCCCACAACAGCTCACAATGGCCGGGCCGAGAGCAGAACCAGCAACAGCAGCAACTCTTACTAACTTCTTCCATCCCCCACTCCCCACCTTCTGGGAAACACCTTCCAGAGGAGCAGCTGGACTTCCCTGTGCTCCACGCCTCGGCCCGGCATGGCTGGGCACGCTCCTCGCGGCTCCTCGTGGCTCCTCGTGGCCGCCACCCAAACTCACAATGGCAGGGTCGGTCGGGACCAGCGTCAAGATCAGCAGCAGCTTTTACTAATTACTCTCACTTTCCCCTATCGCCCGCCCCCCTCCCCCCCTCGCCCCCCCCCCCCCCATTCTACGAACGCCCATCAGAGGAGCAGCTGGACTTCCCTGTGCTCTACGCCTCGGCCCGACACGGCTGGGCGAGCTCCTCTTGGCCGCCACCGCAGCTCTCGATGGCAGGGTCCGACCCTGTATCAGCAGCAGCAGCAGCAGCAGCAAAGGGGGAGAGTGGGGTGGTGCCTATTCTTGAGGCGATTCTTGACCGTGTTCCTCCGCCAGTCGTGGACCCAACAGCGCCCTTCCAGATGCTGGTATGCAGAACATATTAACTGAAAGCTCTATGAAGATGTCATAGGGTCCTTACCTTAGACGCTGAAACATGCTTGCACTAATCTTTCGATTCGGAACCGAGTTCAGTTCAGTTGTCTGAGATCCTCGGCCCTCGGCAACTTACACGGGCAAGCAACTTGTGCTTTTACTTTCAATCTTTCTGCTGAACGAATTGCTCACTCACGCTGCTGCTCATCATCTCTATAATCATGGCTAGCGGCACGTGGATCTAGCAGCGCCCATCCAGATAAGTTGATTTTTGAAAATTGACAAGAATCAACTTTCATAATCTCTATTAACTTGGCTAGCGGCACGTGGATCTAACGGCGCCCGTCTGGATGCTGGGATGCTGATTGACAGAAGAGCAGTCACCATTCCCTGGAAGGGCGCTGTCGAAAGGTATTCTGGCACTTGTTTTTTTTTAATCCGGAAAAAAATCCTCAAAGGGCGCTGCTGGAAGGTACTCTGGCACTTACCAGCTCCTCCTTCTCCAGTACCCCCCTCTACACCACCCCCTCTCCTCCCTTTCTCCTCCCCTTCTGAGACAACTATTGAGGTGCCTGAGAAATTTTATGCTGGCGCTTACCAGCTCCTCCTCCTTCTCCATGACCCCCTTCTGCCTACCTTCTTCCTCCCTACCTTCTTCCTGCTCTTCCTTACCCACATCTAATATTGTGCCAGGTGGGATTGATTGACAAAAACCCGTTCCGAGGCCACCTGCTGCTTGCCTGAGAGCACTGACCTGCCTCTTACCCTTTCCCATCCCCTTCCCTGCCCTTCTCCTTCCCCTTCCCTGCCCTTCCCCTTCCCCTTCCCTCCCTTTCCCCTTCCCCTCCCCTCCTTTCCCCTTCCCTTCCCCTCCCTTTCCCCTTCTCCTTCCCTTCCTTCCCCGTCCCTGCTACGATGCCAGGTGTCATTAATCGACAGGGACCCGTTTCTAGGCCGCCTGCTGATTGGTCGGATAGCATCGGGTGTGGTGCGCGTGAACGACAGGGTGCGAGCGCTGACGAGGGACAGCGAAGGGGAGGCGTTTTCGCTGGAGGAAAGCAAGGTGGGCTGGGAGGAAAGCAAGGTGGGTAGAGGGTCCTATACGTGGGTTACAAAGAGAGAGCACTTGCCGTCCCGGGTGTGGTGCGCGTGGTGTGGGGGACAGGGTGAGGAAGGAGACACATGTGGCAGGGGTGGTGCGCCTGGGGGACAGGGTGCGGGTGCTGACAAGAGACAGCGAAGGGGAGGCGTTTTCGCTGGAGGAGAGCAAGGTGGGCTGAGAGTCCTGTACGCGCGTTACAAGGGTTTGCGTGGGGGACAGAGTGCGAGCACCAGACGACGAAGGGAGGGACCGCGAAGGGGAGGCGTTTTCGTTGGAGGAAAGCAAGGTGGGCTGGGAGGAGAGCAAGGTGGGCTGGGAGCTGGGGAGAATGTGGTTCCGAGGCGCCTGAAGCCACAAATAGTGTCGGGTGCAGTGTAAGGGGGCCAGGGCAAGAGCGCTGACAAGGGAGGGACAGCGAAGGGGAAGCGTTTTCCCTGGAGGAGAGAAAGCAAGCTGGGCTGAGGGTTGGTGCATGTGGGGGGCAGGGTGCGAGCACTATCAAGGGACAGCCAAGGGAGTGCATTTTCGCTGGGAAGAAGCAAGGTGGGCTGAGGGTTGGTGCATGTGGGGGGCAGGGTGCGAGCACTATCAAGGAACAGCCAAGGGAGTGCATTTTCGCTGGGAAGAAGCAAGGTGGGCTGAGGGTTGGTGCATGTGGGGGGCAGGGTGCGAGCACTACCAAGGAACAGCCAAGGGAGTGCATTCTCGCTGGGAAGAAGCAAGGTGGGCTGAGGGTTGGTGCATGTGGGGGGCAGGGTGCGAGCACTATCAAGGGGCAGCCAAGGGAGTGCATTCTCGCTGGGAAGAAGCAAGGTGGGCTGAGGGTTGGTGCGCAAAACAGGACTGAGGGGAAGGAGACACATGTTGCAGGTGTGGTGCGGTGTGGTGCGGTGTGGTGTGTGTAGGAGAGTGAGAGCACTGACGAGAGAGGGAGAGCGACGGAGAGGCATTCTCACCGGAAGAGAGCAAGGTGGGGTGAGAGGGGGGTCATGGTTTGAGGCACCTTACGGCATGAGTGAGGCACCTTACGGCATGAGTGAGGCACCTTACGGCATGAGTGAGGCACCTTACGGCATGAGTGAGGCACCTTACGGCATGAGTGAGGCACCTTGCGGCATGAGTGAGGCAGCAGCAGAGGACATAGTGGCGGTGGCAGTGGCAGTGGCAGTGGCGGTGGCAGTGGCAGTGGCAGTGGCGGTGGCAGTGGCAGTGGCAGTGGCGGTGGCAGTGGCAGTGGCAGTGGCGGTGGCAGTGGCAGTGGCAGTGGCAGTGGCGGTGGCGGTGGCGGTGGCGGTGGCAGTGGCAGTGGCAGTGGAAGTCACCTTTTCCAGGGACGTGTGGGAGTCAGAACGCCCCGCTGCTGTTTCCCACTGTTTCCCATCCCCCCCCAACCCTGTCATGCCATCAGGTGGTGAAGCTGGTCAAGCGGAGGGGAGTAAAATCCGAAGATATGAGTGAGGCAGCAGCAGGGGACATAGTGGCAGTGGCGGGGATGACACACGCACACGTCTCCCACACTCTTGCTGATCTCTCGGTATGTCTTCCTCCACACCGAGGCAGTCTGCCAGTAGGCCATTACTTACGGGGTAGTGGCAGTGGCAGGGATGGCACACGCTCACGTCTAGTTTTGACTAGGCCTTCAGTGTCAAGTCAACGACTTGCTCTCTTCACACCTTCACTTTTGAGTCGATTCAAAAGTCGTTTTTTTTTTACTAGGCCTTCAGTGTCAAGTCAACGACTTGCTCTCTTCACACCTTCTCTTTTGAGTCGACTCAAAAGTCGTCTAGTTTTGACGAGGCCTTCAGTGTCAAGTCAACGAGTTGCTCTCTTCACACCTTCACTTTTGAGTCGACTCAAAAGTCGTCTAGTTTTGACGAGGCCTTCAGTGTCAAGTCAACGACTTGCTCTCTTCACACCTTGTGACTGCCTTGTGGCCACCTTGTGGCCTCACCTTGTGCCTTGCTCTCTTCACCTTGCACTCTTCACCCTTGTGACCTTCAGTGTCAACGACTCGCCTCTGTTCGTCCATTCACCCTTTTCTTCCCCTCCTGCTTCAATCCCTCCCACGTACTCTTTCACACACCTCCCTCCCCTCCAGGTTTCAACGCCCCTCCCAGTGGCCGCCATTGATCCCCCCACTATCGCCATGACCTTCAGTGTCAACGACTCGCCTCTGGCAGGGAGACACGGCACCCAGGTGAGGCCTCAGGTGCCCAGGTGGGGTCTTAGGTTCTCAGGTGCATTCTCAGAAGTGTCCTCTCCCACCGCTGCCATGACCTTCGCTGTCAACGGCTTGCCACTAGCTGGCAGGCAGGGCAGGCATGGCTCGTCGTAGGTTTGATCGCAGGTCCTCAGCTCAGGTGAATGCTCAGGTGAATGCTCAGGTGAATGCTCAGGTGCTGGTCTAAGTAGCCTCATTTTTCTCAACCCCTTGCTCCTCTGCAAAAAAAGATGGCTGGCCGAACAGTCGGAGCGCGGTTGAAAACAGAGGAAGCGACAGCGTACCATTAGGCTGTTCTGTTCCATTGGTCATTCCACCATTGGGACCATCAGGCTGGAGGGGTTTCCTTCGATCGACTGATGCCTTCTTTGATTTTGCAGGGCTGATGCCTTCCTTGATTTTGCAGGGCTGATGCCTTCTTTGATTTTGCAGGGCTGATGCCTTCCTTGATTTTGCAGGGCTGATGCCTTCCTTGATTTTGCAGGGCTGATGCCTTCTTTGATTTTGCAGGGCTGATGCCTTCTTTGATTTTGCAGGGCTGATGCCATCCTTGATTTTGCGGGGCTGATGCCTTCCTTTTAAAGTGCTGCTCCCACTGGCCCCGTTCTCTCAGTCAACCCCTTGCTCCTGCAACACAGATGACCGGCCCAAAGATTAAAGCGTAACTGAAGGCAGAGGAAGCGACCAACGTGACATTCGGGACTGCTGGGGGTTTATTGTTGGAATACAGCCACCCTCAGACTAAATTTCACTGCCCTGATTTTCCCACTACCCACTACCCCCCCCAACACCCACCCCCCCCTGCCGTACCCCCTCCCCTTGCTCCCACTATCCCAGATGACCGGCCCAAAGATAAGTGCCTGGCTGAAAGCAGAGGTAGCAACCAAAACTTTCTGGATCCGAGGTTTCCTCAACCTTCCACCCATTTCTCAACCTTCTTGATGGGGCTGGAGGGGGGTCCCTCTGCTGACGCCTTCAAAGTCTCAGACTTCCTTGCTCCATCCCCTGAACCCCCTTTTGAGGCGCCTCAAAAATCATCCCCTGAACCCCCTGCTCCTCTGCAGATGACCGGGCCAAAGATCGGAGCCCGGCTGAAAGCAGAGGTGGCGACCAACGTGTCTCTCGGGCTTGAAGGAGGTCCCTCTGCTGACGCCTTCAAAGTGCTGGCAAGAGGCGAGCTGCAGCTAGGTAAGGGTTTCTAGGGCTTAGGGTTGATACTTTTATCATGTCTCCAGGGCTCGAAGGTGGTCCCTCTGCTGACGCCTTCAAGTGCTGGCCAGAGGAGAGGTGCAGCTATGTAAGGGTATTTGTCTTGAGTTCTAAAGTCCATGGTTCAAGATGTGATCTCTAGGGTGGCTTCGGGGCTCGAGGGGGGTTCCTCTGCTGACGCGTTCGAAGTGCTGGCCAGGGGGCAGCTACAGCTGGGTGAGTGATCAGTGTTTGGAGCTAATTGGTGGCTAATAAATATGGTGATTAGAATGTTTTTTCCCTCCCTGATTTCCTTTTTTCCTGCTCTCACTCCTCTCCCTCCTTCCTGCAGGTGTGCTTATAGAGAGTATGCGCAGAGAAGGGTTTGAGCTCTCCATATCGCCGCCATCCGTGCTGTGAGTGAGAGAGAGAGAGGCATAGTCTGCTTTGCACTCCTGCTGACAGCGAGAGAGAGAGAGAGAGAGAGAGAGAGAGAGAGAGAGAGAGAGAGAGAGAGAGAGAGAGAGAGAGAGAGAGAGAGAGAGAGAGAGAGAGAGAGAGAAGAGAGAGAGTATGCGTATAGAAGGGTTTGGGAGCTACTTACATCGCCGCCCTTTGTGCTGTGAGTTAGAGAGAGAGAGAGGCACGGTCTACTTTGCACTCCTGCTGATAGCGAAAGAGAGAGAGTATGCCCAGGGAAGGGTTCGATTTGAGCTCTCCATACCATATTAGGGCACTCCGTGCTGTAAGTGAAGGAGATAAACACGCCTGCGTGGAGGGAGGATGCAACTTTTTCTTTCGCTTAGCGCTTTTTCTTTCTTTTTTCTTTTAAGCAAGATTTGTTTTTTAATTGTTTTCGGCTGGCAGTCTTCATTTGCTGGGCTGAGTGATGGATACCGTTTTCCATATTTAATATTCTCTCTCCCTTGTGCCTCCCCTCCTCCCCCCCCCCCTCTTCCTTTATCTCCCTTCTCCCCCCACACACAACCAACCACCTCCCTTCTGCAGGTACCGCGAGGAGCGTGGAAAGAAGTTAGAGCCAATAGAAGAGTTGATGGTGGAGGTGAGTGAGGGGTTGAATTGAAATGGGTGGTGAAGGGTGGTAATGGGGCATGGTGGTGCGGTGATGTGCGGTTTTGCATGGTTTGATGCAGGGAAGCTGGAGGGTGAAAAGAAGTTAGAGCCCGTAGAAGAGCTGACGGTGGAGTTGAGGGATGATGATGGGTGTGATGCGGTGAGATGCGGTGAGATGCAAGGGTGTATGGGTTGGTGCCATGCAGTGAAACACAGTAGCCGGTGTAAGGTGGAGGAGGGTCAGTGGAGTCATCACACCATCATCGCCCTCTCTTCCCCTTTCACTTCCTCCTGCCCCCACTCCTCCCCGATGCATGCATTCTTCTGTATGTGTGAGTGGCTGTTCTCAGGTGGATGATGAGTATTCCCCTAGGGGGACGAGAAAGGGGGGGGGAGCTTCTAGACATCATACACAGAATCATCATTCTCCCCTTCCCCTACCTCCCTCCCCTCCCGCACTTCCTGGTGCGTTCTTTGGTATGTGTGACTGACTGCGTGCCCCAACAAAGGTGGACGAGGAGTATGCAGGAGCGGTGATCGACTCCATTTCCCTCAGAAAAAGGGGGAGGTGCGAGACATGATCACAGAATCATCCCCCTCCTCCTCCTCCTCCTCCGCACCCCCCCCCCCCCCCCCCCCCCCCCATCATTTGTTCTTCGGTATGTGTGACTGACTGCGTGCCCCTACAATGGTGGACGAGGAGTATGTAGGAGCGGTGTTTGACTCCATTTCCCTCAGAAAAGGGGGGAGGTGCTAGACATGATGCTCCTGTCTGTGTGTCTGTGCCCATATGCTTGTGTGTGTGTCTGTGCCCATATGCTTGTGTGTGTGTCTGTGCCCATATGCTTGTGTGTGTGTCTGTGCCCATATGCTTGTGTGTGTGTCTGTGCCCATATGCTTGTGTGTATCTGTGTGTGACTGATCTCAGGTGGACGAGGAGTATGCAGGAGCGGTGATCGACACCATCTCCCTCAGAAAGGGGGAGCTGCTAGACATGATCACAGAATCGTCTTCCTCCTCCTCCTCCTCCTCATCCGATTCCAGCTCATTTGGTGCTGACTCATCATCATCATCTGCCACATCATCACCCCCGCCATCCACGTCACCATCTTCCCCTGCCAGCTCATCGTCCTCGCCCTCATCCCTCTCCCGAACACGTCTACTCTTCACCTGCCCATCCAGGTACGTTGATTGATGAGCCTCTGCCCGCCCAGGTGAGTTGATTAATTAGCCTCTGCCTGCCCATGTGAGTTGATTAATTAGCCTCTGCCCGCCCAGGTGAGTTGGTTAATTAGCCTCTGCCCGCCCAGGTGAGTTGATTAATTAGCCTCTGCCCGCCCAGGTGAGTTGATTAATAGCCTCTGCCCGCCCACGTGAGTTGATTAATTAGCCTCTGCCCGCCCAGGTGAGTTGGTTAATTAGCCTCTGCCCGCCCAGGTGAGTTGGTTAATTAGCCTCTGCCCGCCCAGGTGAGTGAATTGACTTTCTTGTGGCCATTCCAGGTGAGGTCGATTAACCAGAGTGCGTAGCACTGCACTGCACCCATAGCCATGCGAAAACTTAGCTATAGCCATAGCTGTAGCCATAGCTATAGCCATACCTATAGCCATACCTATAGCCATAGCTATAGCCATAGCCATAGGCAAAACCCTGAAGAACCCTTAGCCATGCCCCTTGTCCTGAACTCCACACATGCATACTTCACCTTGCCTGCAGAGGCCTACTGGGCGTGCGGGGTTAAGCAAGTTAGTTTTGGGATGTCTCGAGACAAAACTTTTGAGACGTCTCAAATTGTCCTGAACTTCACACACACGTGCATGTGTCACCTTGCCTGCAGAGGCCTGCTGGGGGGAGTTTTCATCTCAACACTGCCAGCAGAGGCACAGCAGAGCTGTACCGATCTATCTTGCGCCATAGGCCCCCTACCCTTGTCCTCAACTCTGTCTATGCCCTCCATGCACACGCGTCCGCAGGGGCCAACACTGCAACCAGAGGCAGAAACTTAAGCCCTGATTCCTCAGCCTTTTCTGTAAACTCCATCCATGTATGTGTGTGGTGTGCAGGGGCCTCTTGGGAGTGCGAGGAGTGCTCAACACTGCAACCAGGGGCACAGCAGTGCTGCACCGATCATTTCTGCGTGAGTCACCTGTCCCTCGTTGTCTGAATCTTCCCTTTTTTTTTTCCCGATCGCTCTACCCCTGGTATCCCCTCACTCTCTTTCTCTCTCTTTCCCCCTGAGAAACTGGGTAGACTGCAGCAACATTTTCGCTCGCTGCATTTCGCTCTCTGCATTTTCGCTCTCTGCATTTCGCTCTCTGCATTTTCGCTCTCTGCATTTCGCTCTCTGCATTTTCGCTCTCTGCATTTTCGCTCTCTGCATTTTCGCTCTCTGCATTTTCGCTCTCTGCATTTTCGCTCTCTGCATTTTCGCTCTCTGCATTTTCGCTCTCTGCATTTTCGCTCTCTGCATTTCGCTCTCTGCATTTTCGCTCTCTGCATTTTCGCTCTCTGCATTTCGCTCTCTGCATTTTCGCTCTCTGCATTTCGCTCTCTGCATTTCGCTCTCTGCATTTCGCTCTCTGCATTTCGCTCTCTGCATTTCGCTCTCTGCATTTCGCTCTCTGCATTTACGCTCTCTGCATTTTCGCTCTCTGCATTTCGCTCTCTGCATTTTCGCTCTCTGCATTTTCGCTCTCTGCATTTCGCTCTCTGCATTTTCGCTCTCTGCATTTCGCTCTCTGCATTTTCTCTCTCTGCAATTTCCTTTCCTCCCTGGCAGGCTATGGGCCTTGGAGCGGTAGTCTGGAGCGATGTGGGTAAAGGGATATGAGCCTTGGAGGGGTTGCCCCTGTAGTGTACGTGAATTAAAATCTCCTCTTACCTCCTCTCCCCTCCACTCTCCTCCTCTCTCCTCCTCTCCCCTCTCCCCACTTCTCCCCTCCTCTCCTCTCCTCTCCCCTCCCCTCCTCTCCTCCTCTCCCCTCCGCTCCCCTCCTCTCCCCTCCTCTCCCGTTTTATCCTGGCAGGGTACGAGCCTTGGAGGGGCCGGCTGGAGCGAGGACGCAAGGGGGTGATTGTGTCGATGGCCACAGGTACAGTCACAGTCAAAGCAGGTACAGTCACAGTCAAAGCAGGTACAGTCACTGTCAAAGCAGGTACAGTCACAGCTCCAGATAGAAGCTTATGGCAGAGAGGGAGCTACAGGTATTGCATTGGTTTGCTTCTCTCACTTAAGCTACTCTCACGCTGTCACTGTCACATCTGGTACCATATCACAACCATATGATAACAAAATGGGTTTGGTTTGAGAGTATCACGTTAATGGTGCCAGATGTTCCAGTGACAGCAGCTCATGGTGGCTTTTGAGTCAACTCGAAGGTGACTTCAGGTGGCTTTTGGTTTGACTCAGAAGTCACCTATGATGCCAGATGTGCCATCGGCTGTAGCTCATGTGGTGCATCTGAGGTACCATATGGTACCTCAGAAGGTACCTCAGAAGGTACCTCAGAAGTCACCTATGGTGCCAGATGGTACTGGTACCACCATATCACAGCCCTTGCCATGTCACAGCCCTTGCCATGTCATGCCCTCTCCTCTTATCCAGCATGAGTATGCACAACAACACAGCACAGGCAACATCGCGGTCCATGCTCTCTCGCCTTAAAACTCATCACATTTTATAACAGTGAATGTTTTCGTCTTGCCACTGCTGGCACCATCACAGCCCATGCCCTCTCCAGTCATCCTCTTTTTTTTCCTCTTTATTTATGAGACGTGTCTCCTGTGACTTGCCGGTTCCCCCCCCCCCCCCTTGAGAACGTTTCGACTTCCCAAACGCCATTCATGACTGGCCGCTTTTGAGGCGCCTCAAAAATAGACTCTCCATTCATGACTGGCCGTTTGTTGTTCTCCTGGTGCCAACGTCTGCAGGTACCATCACAGCCCATGCCCTCTCCTCTCTTGAAGCCCGAGGCACACTCTTTGTCAGCCCTGGAGATGAGGTACGGTGGGGTGCAGTGCGGTCGAGTGCAGCGCAGTGGGGCAAAGCGGGTGTGATGTGGTGCGTCATCGTGAGGTGTGGCAGAGTTTATGTTCTTATCTTGTCACCCTCTCTGTCAGCCCGCCCTAGTCCCTGGCTATGAATTATTTTAGGCGCCTTAAAAATAGTAAGCCCTGGCATGACGCATGGTAGGGTGCAGAACGGTGCAGTCTTGACATACAGTCGTTTTGTTCTCTTCCTTCCTCTTCCATCCCCCTTCTTCTTCCCTCCTCTTCTCTTTTGCTGCGTTCTCCTTCTATTCTCTCCCATTCCTCCCCTTCCCCCCCTCCCCCTCCCCCCCCCCCCATCAGACATACGATGGCCATATTATAGGGGAAAACGCAAGGGACGAGGATATGGAGGTGAGGGGGGGCAAGGTGGTGACTGGGAGGTTCAGGGGTTGGGGTTCAGGGCTGTGAGTGGTGCCTAATTTCAACAAAATCCGAATCCTTTTGCCCGTTCCTTCGTCTGCAACGATCAAGATGCTTCACTGACACCTCGGCTCATCGATTCTCCCTTTGTCAGGTGAACCCTGTACGCACTAAGGAGCTCACCAACATAAGAGCGGCGTCTAAGGATGAGAACATTCGCCTCACGCCGCCACGGCAGGTAGGCAGCTGTTGACTTGGTAAGCTGTTGCGTTTGGATTTGTTACAAAGGAGCTTGTTACGAGCTGGATTCCTACCCGCCATGGGGCCATGGGTTATGAGCAAAGGGGCGAGCTGGTGGAGGTGACACCTGCTGCCATCCGCCTTGGCTCATACGATGTTTTCTTTCTTCCCCTTGCACACTGAATCGATTTGTTTTAACTCGACTCAAAATCTTCCCCTTGCACACTGTACCGAATTGCACCATACCACTAGGCCTACAACCGCAGATGAGTCCAGAGCAGGCCATGGGGTACGTGCAGATGGGCGAGCTGGTGGAGGTGACACCTGCCGCCCTCTCTGGTAGTAACAGTGTTGGGTGCTTCTCCCTGTACCTACCCCACTGTGCCACCATGTCATGAGCAGATGAGCCTTGAGGAAGCCATGGGGTACGTGCAGACGGGCGAGCTGGTGGAGGTGACTCCTGCTGCCATCCGCCTGAGGAAGAAAGAGCTGAGCTCGTCCAAGCGGAAGACCACGCGGCGCAACCAGAAAGAGTGACAAGTGTTGAATGACAAGGCATCGTGATTCATGATTCATGTGGGTTTAGGCACCTCATATCACGTTTCGGAAGAAAGAGCTGAGCTCGTCCAAGCGGAAGACCACGAGGCGGCGGCGGGTGGAACCAGAATGAGTGGCAAAGCAAGTGTTTAACGGGGACTGGCCAGGTTCTGCGTTGCACAGGCCATCCAGCTTGTTCTGATTGACACGCCTGTTGTTCCCCGAAAACGATGCTGAAGGCAAGCTTCTTATTCAGGCAGCACAACATACAGTACAAACGGATGCGAAAGCTGAAAACAACTGCCCACCCACATTGCCTGCCCTTCTCTACCCCCCAACAATTACCTCCCCCCATTTCCACCATCTTCCTCTTTGGATCAGCTGCAGTCTCTTCTGCTGGACCACCACCAAGGACTTGGGTCGAGGCGAGACCCCCCAACAGCTCAGGGGAAAATCCCAGCAGCCGTCCCAACAGCCGTCCCAGCTAGCTGCCTAGTCCCCTGAGCTTCTCATCTCACACTCTGTCCCGTTCATTGTTGTGACATACTATATGGGTACTCCCCCTCCCAGTTCCCCTGGGGGTAATAATGGCACACCCACATCCCCGCCCCATCACTGCACTTCGAAGCAGCGCACCCCACATTCTGCGTGCCCTCCCACACCACCTGCGTGTAGTGCAGGCACTGCTGCCCCTCCGCACACCCCCCTGGAATCGGGCTATACGTCCAGTACTGTTTCTCATCATTCCAGCTCCTCACCGCCCCTTAGTACAGATGGGTACTGCACGGTTACATACGGCACGGGTTCTGTCCCATTACGTCTTGTACGGGTACTCCCCCTCCCAGTTCCCCTGGGGGTAATAATGGCACACCCACATCCCCGCCCCATCACTGCACTTTGAAGCAGCGCACCCCACATTCTGCGTGCCCTCCCACACCACCTGCGTGTAGTGCAGGCACTGCTGCCCCTCCGCACACCCCCCTGGAATCGGGCTATAAGTCCAGTACTGCTTCTCTTCATTCCAGCTCGCCACGGCCCCACGGTCCTCATCCGGGGTAAAGGCAGCAGGCGATTTCCAGTATAAGTTCTGCCCCATGTTGTCGTGGCCGCCGTGCTCCAGGGGGCATCCGCGCCCAGCGAGGTTGTCGGCCCATGCCTGCACAGAAAGCACACAACAAATTAAATTAGGAAAAAAAAAAAAACACAGGAAAAAGCACAACTCATGAATATACGAAACAAGCAAAAAAAAGAAGCAAAACAGAAAAACAAACAAACACGACTCTGGAAAATAGAAACTCAAATCAGAAGCCGTGCTCCTGTGCACATTCGGCCATACCTCCTGCACGGATGCCGCAAGATTACCGTCCCAGCTTAGCACAGAAAGGGATTTCGTAGGTACGCGCGCTCCAAGTTGTGCTCATCTAGCATCCACTGGATTGTGCAGCATCCACAAGGCTGGCAGCCCAGGTGGCCACGCGCCCATGCCTGCGCGGAAGTTCGTGCCCCAGCGGCTGAGCGCGGGGAGCCGTAGGTGCGCGCGGCGAAGTTATCATGCTCATCTAGCATCCGCGGCCTATAGGATTGTTGGCCCGTACCTATGCGGAGGCGGCGAGATTGGAGTCCCAGGTGAACGCGGGGAGACTAAGGTACGCGCGCGCGTAGTTGCGGTCCCCCAGCATCATACCTGCACGGGGTTTTCGGCCCATACCTGCGCAGACGCGGCGAGATTAGAGTCCCCCCTGAGCGCGGGGAGACTCAGGTACGCGCGCGCGCAGTTGTGCTCCCCCAGCATCACGCCCGCGTCCACCGTGCCCGCGCCAAACCCTGGCCTTCCCCGTCCGTACCTGCGCGGAAGAAGCGAGATTCGCGTCCCATGTCAGCGCGGGGAGACTCAGATATGCGCGCGCGTAGTTGTGCTCCCCCAGCATCACGTCCGCGTCCACCGTGCCCCCGCTACCACCACCGCCCGAGCTCCCGCCGTCCGAGCTCCCCCCATCCGTGCTCCCCCCATCCGCGCTTCCGCCGTCCGTGCTCCCCCCATCCGTGCTCCCCCCGTCCGTGCTCCCGTCCGTTCCGCCGCCAGAGCTACCGTCGTCCCAGGTAGTACCGCCGCCGTCAGAGCTTCCGTAGTCCCAGCTGCCGCTGCCGTCAGAGCCGTCGTCCCACGTACCGCCGTCAGAGCTGCCGTAGTCCCATTGCCAGCTACCTCTGTCGCCGCTGTCCCAAGTGTCGCCACCCCAGTCGCTAGACAAGTCGTTGGACCAATCAGACGAGTCTCCACTGTCGCTGGACCAGTCGCTCGTCCAGTCGCCGTAATCATACGACGATTCTTGCAGCTGGCGACGGTTACCACGTAGTCGCGCGTGGATAGGCTGGAGCTGAGTCTCCCGCAAGAACCGGCGCGAAGTTTGGAGGCTATTAGAAGTGCTTATAGCGGTGGCGAAGGTGCTTAGGGACAGGAGGAGGATGAGGAGGGCACTCGCGAGAATGGTGAACGACAATCTCGGGCACGCCATGGTTCCCTAGCGAAACGATTTGTAGTTTATTTTTATGTCGTCGGTTTTATGGCAGGAAAAAAATGATTTCTATACTAACGGGGAACTGAACGGACCTAGGCGTATTATGGATTTGAAGCCTCCTGGACTACACTACTACGAGGTGCAATCTCTATTTGCTGGAGTTGTCGAGGGAAGGAGCAAGCTGGAGAGGAAGGGGATGGGAGGAATTACTTTCCTTGCTGGCGCTCGATCGCGAAAGAAAGCAAGAGCTTCGTTAGCGCTCGACTTTCGCAAGTCTCGCTGATTCGACAAGTTACACAGCATTTCACGACAGCCAGCAAAGCACGAAAGGGCCTGACGAATTCCTGCCGAGTAACGCTGGGCTCTTCAGGAATTCGCCTTTGCGAAACCCAGCAATGCAGAAGACTGCTGCACTGGCATGGGTGGATATGTTTGAGGCGCGGGGAATCGTTAGAGTCAAGGGTTTCGTGGCGGTGCCACGCGAGCGTGCACTTTGCTGAACCAACGATGACGGGGCTGAACAAAAAATTCAGGGTTTCGGAAAACTCCACTATTCGCTATTCCGCTATTACTGATAATAGGTGGAATGCTTTCATCTGCTTGCACAAAGATCAATTGCAATGCGTAATTATGCACTCTCCAACTACGACCTCTAGCACCTTCCTCCCCCCATAAAAAAGAAAATTCTATCATGAATCCCATCTCCTGAACCTATATGATATATTATGATGCACTAAAGAAAACACGGCCCATGCACGATAATGAGGGCACAAACAACATGCTGGAGCACCTACTTGCGTTGGAATCAGGGTTGACGTTTCAAAGAAAGCCACCCTGAGCTGTCGACTAAAAATAAAATAAAAATCCTTAGGGCTCTGTTTTCAAAGATTGCCTACCGTGATTTGTCAGTGTTCAGAAACCCGAAACCCTCAAATTCTCATGGTTCACAGTAACAGAAAGAATGAATGACTAGAGTTGTGAGATACAAGGCAATATAGTCTAGAGAGTTGTACCCACTAAGGCAAAAACACATATAGTCTACAGTAGCTGCATAAGCTATATGTATATAGACTATATAGGGGCAGTGCCTAACAAGGGAAGAAGTGTCAAACATCTGTATTTGTCATGTTTGTATAGACTGTATAGGGTTACCTCTTAGAGGGTACAACACTTAGGTATATTTGTGTGTACTCTCACTTTACCAATCAATTCCAATTTTGATATGGTATCACGCGTAGGTAGGATCCCCCCCACCTACCGCTTCCGCTCATGCCCCCTAGCGCCCCTCCCAGGCCCCGTCGCGCTCCTCCCAGGCCCCCTAGCGCCCCTCCTGGGCCCCGTCGCGCTCCTCCCAGGCCCCGTAGCGCCCCGTCGCGCCCCTCCTGGGCCCCGTAGCGCCCCTCCTGGGCCTCGTCGCGCCCCTCATGGGCTTCGTAGCGCCCCTCCTGGGCCCTGTAACGCCCCTCCCAGGCCCCGTCGCGCCCCTCCCAGGCCCCGTCGCGCTCCTCCCAGGCCCCCTCGCGCTCCTCCCAGGCCCCGTAGCGCCCCGTCGCGCCCCTCCTGGGCCCCGTAGCGCCCCTCCTGGGCCTCGTCGCGCCCCTCCTGGGCTTCGTAGCGCCCCTCCTGGGCCCTGTAACGCCCCTCCCAGGCCCCGTCGCGCCCCTCCCAGGCCCCGTCGCGCTCCTCCCAGGCCCCCTAGCGCCCCTTCTGGGCCCCGTCTCGCTCCTCCCAGGCCCCGTAGCGCCCCGTCGCGCCCCTCCTGGGCCCCGTAGCGCCCCTCCTGGGACTCGTCGCGCCCCTCCCAGGCCCCGTCGCGCCCTCCCAGGCCCCTCGCGCCCCTCCTGGGCCCCGTCGCCCCTGCCCGGCCCCGTCGCAGCCGCCGGCCCGTCGCGCCCCCGGCCCGTCGCGCCGCCCGGCCCGTCGCGCCCGCCCGGCCCGTCGCGCCCGCCCGGCCCCGTCGCAGCCGCCTGGCCCCGTCGCGCCCGCGCGGCCCCGTCGCAGCCGCCTGGCCCCGTCGCCCTTGCCTGGCCCCGTCGCAGCCGTCCGGCCCCGTCGCCACCGCCCGGCCCTGTCCCACCCTGCCCGGCCCCGTCGCAGCCGCCCGGCCCCGTCGCACCCGCCCGGCCGCCGTCCCGCTCGCCCGGCCCTGTCGCACCGGCCCGGCCCTGCCGCACTCGCCCGGCCCTGTCGCCCCAGCCCGGCCCCGTCGCGCCCGCTCGGCCCCGTCGCCCCGTCCCGGCCCTGTCGCACCAGCCCGGCCCCGTCGCGCCCGCCCGGCCCCGTCGGGCCAGCCCCGGCCCCGTCCTCCTCACTGGTACGGTTCCCCCCCACCCCGCCCTGCTCCGTGCCGCCCCGCACCACACTGTACTGCCTGGCACCGCACTACACCGCACTCCACCGCACTGCTCAGCACTGCACCACACTGTACCACACTGCACCGCACTGCACCGCACTGTACCGCACTGCACCGCACTGCACTGCACTGCCCTGCACTGCACTGGACTGTTCCTGATGGCGGCGGAGCTTCGCTTCGACCCTGAAGGCCAGCCCCTAGAGTTCGAGGCGTGGCTTGCTGACCTCCGCCGTCAACTCACTGGCCAGCGGCAGGATGGTGAACCGCTTTCCGCACACCTTGACGGTACGCTCCCCTGCCCAGACCCCCCTGCTATTCTGCCCGCTGACCTTACACCCACTGAGCGTGAGGCTACTGCTGCCACTGCCCGTGCGCGCTCTGTCTGGCTTTCTCGCGATGCTGTTGCCCAGCTTGCCATTAGCAACGCCCTTCCCCCATCCGAGCGTCCTCGCTTTAGGTCCCTCACTACTGCTCAGGCATACTTAGATGCTGTGATCAAGCGCTATTCCACCCCTCCGGCTGCCTCGGTGGGTCGCCTGATCCTTCCGATGCTCTTTCCTGACCTTGCATCTTTCCCCACTGTCTCTGACCTCGCTGCCCACCTGCGCTCGATAGATGAGACCTGGCGCGCTGCCTGCACTGACGCCCAGCTTAGAGCCCACCAGCCGCCCATTACCTCTACCCTCTACCTGCTTGCCACCCGCCTCCCTGACCGCCTTGCTGTCGCCCGCGACCGCTTTCTTAGCGTTCACCCCGCAGACCTCACCCTCACTGACTTTGTAGACACCCTGACTGTGATAGAGACCCGTCACCGCTCCATTGCCCAGGCGAGCGGTACCGTGCCGGTCCCTATCTTTCAGGGTTGTGCCCCCGCTCAGTGCACCTTCTCCGACGGCTCTGCCGCAGTGGCTGAGACTGCTGCTGCAGCGCAGGTCCATTCGGGGAAGGGCCGCCGCCCCAAGGCTGGGCGCGGCGGAGGAGGCGGCGGGGGTGCGGGCGGGGGTAGTGGTGGGGTCGGGTCGCCCGGTGCTGGAGTGGACGAGGGGACCCTGCCCAGTTCAGCTGAGTCGCCGCCCCTGCAGTTGCAGCAGCCGCAGCAGCCGCCGCAGTCGCAGCCTTCGCAGCAGCCGCAGCAGCCGTCGCAGACGCGGCAGACGAGTGTCCTCCCGCCCGGGTGGCCCGGCGCTGGCGGTGGCCGGGCGCGTGGTGGTGTGCCGCGTGGTGGCTCTGGCGGCGGGCGTTGTCAGTACCAGATCCAGACCGGTCCTCGCCGCGGCTTCGTTTGCGGTAAGCTCGGTCACTCCACTCCCCGCTGTTTTCGTCGCCTGGACGACCTCTTTCGTCAGCGCTTCGGCCCGTCGCCAGACCTCCCGGACTGGCACAGTTTGCTTAGTCGTCAGATTCAGATTTTTGATTTGGACATGGATGCCATTGTTTCTGCTCTGCATGTGATGTATGCTGATGACTCTAGTGTGCTTCCCGCTTATTACTCACTGTTGCCTAGTGTAGGTGTGCCTAGCTTAGCCTCCCCTGCTGCGTCAGGCGTAGGATCCCCTGCTTTGTGTAGTCTTGGTGCTTCCGCCGTCGTTCCGTCGCCAGACCCCTCGGCTTCGCTTTCCTTCACCATGGACTCTGGCGCTTCTCGGTGTTTCTTCCGCGACTCCACCACCCTGACGCCGCTTCCTGTTCCTGCTGCCGTTCTCTTGCTGACCCCTCCGGCGGTCCGGTAGTCGCCCGCAGTTCCACCACCCTTCCCTGTCCGGCGGTTCCTTCGGGTTCTCTTACAGGTCTGCATATCCCCTCGTTCTCCAGGAACCTAGTTGGTGTCGGCTGCCTCCAGGACCTTGGCGTCACCACTACGTTCCCTGGTCACGAGCGGTATGCTGTCTGTACCGAGGCCGCCACTGGTGCCCCCCTGTCCACGTTCCCCCGGGACCCGGTGTCCGGCCTGTTCACTCTGGACACCGTGCCCCCCCGGCTGGAGCGCCCCTCAGGTGGCTGCGTCTACCCAGGTTGCTGCTGCCTGCTCCTGTCGCTCCCTCACTCACCCGACCCTCCTGTGGCACCACTGCCTAGGTCACCCTGCGCTCCCGCGTCTGCGTCACATGTCCCAGCACGGTCTTGTCCTTGGTCTCCCAGGTTCACTCCCCGCGTTTCCCTCCTCCCCAGCTCCGCCTTGCACGCCTTGTGTCGAGGGTCGGCTTCGCCGTGCCCCTCACTCCTCCTCGTTTCCCCCTACCGCCGCGCCGCTGCAGACCCTGCACCTGGACGTCTGGGGCCCCGCCCCCGTCCCTGGGCCGCGTCGAGAGCGCTACTTCCTTGTGCTTGTCGACGACTTCACTCGTTACACCACAGTCTTTCCCCTGGAGCGCAAGGCCGACGTGCCTGGCGCTCTCATCCCCTGGCTTGTCTCTGCACGTGTCCACCGCGGTCTCCCTGTCTTGCGTCTTCACTCAGACCGTGGTGGCGAGTTTGCCTCCGGTGTCCTTGGTCGCTTTTGTCGTGCGGAGGGCATCACCCAGACGTTCACCCTACCGGACTCCCCACAGCAGAATGGGGTCGCTGAGCGACGCATCGGTTTGGTCATGGAGGTGGCTCGCACCTCCATGATCCATGCCGGTGCACCCCATTTTCTGTGGCCGTTCGCTGTGCGCTACGCTTCTCACCAGCTTAACCTGTGGCCGCACCCTCAGCAGCCGCAGGTTTCGCCGACCCGTCTTTGGACTGGGTCCCCTGGTGACGCGTCTGCGTTCCACGTCTGGGGCTGCCTTGCTGACGTCCGTGCCTCCGGCACGGACAAGCTC